TCATTTTTTCATTATATATATATATATATATATATATATATATATAAATTAATCTTACCAGCAAGCTCAAGCTTGGCTCTGGCATCTTTGTCCTTGGCAATGACTCTGTACTCGCCTTGATCACGTGGCCTGATTTCACACACTTGAAGCCTGTGAATCTTACCCTCACTCATTATCTGGTACTTATCACCTTGAACAACGGTCATGTTGTTCCTCAGCCATTTGATCTCAACTTTGTCTTTGTTAAGCTCAACTTCATACACAACATCTGAGCCTGGGGGCTCAAACACATCTGTGGGTGGTCTGACAATCTCCACAGGGGTCTCTAAAGAGGTGACAAAGTCATAAAGACCATTTAAGTTTCTATTAATTTCCATTACTTTTCTATACCTGGAGATTACATTTACTAAAATTCCCTGATATTTCCAGGTAATTAATGGACACTGAAACAAACTTACCCTCAACAAAGAGGCGGGCTCTTGTTCTCTTGTCATCCACTCCACAGGCATATTCACACTCATCATCTGGTCTGCACTCTTTTATACACAGTCTACATGTTTTGCCATCTCTCTCAAATTGGTATCTTAAAATTAAACATTAAATGCATATTAAACATACTCAAAACCAACAAAAACCCTTGACAAAAACCCTTTAGAATAACGTATCTTACCTGGGTCCTTCTCTGATCTCCCTGCCATCTCTGTACCATTTGATTTCGGCCTTCTCTTTGGAAAGTTCACATGTGAACTCAGCATCCTCAAACTCAATGATAGTTTGGTCACTGAGCTGAGCGGTGAAGTCTGCGGGTGCCTCACTGATGATCAGTTCTGCTGTTGCCTTATCAGCACCAGCAACTACACTGTATTCACCCTCGTCTGCAAGGCTGCAGTCCTTAATGGTCAGAGTGTGCTTGTCCTTGTCCACACGATAGAGAATTCTCTTGCTGAGAGTGATTTCCTGACCTGCCTTCATCCATTGTACTGTTACATTTGGTATGTTCACCTTGCATGTAAAGCTGATGGTCTTTTTCTCCTGTGTGTCAACATCCTCAGGGGGAACAATGATTCTAAGATCTTCCTCTGTGGAAATTAAGGTTTATGATAAGTTAACTAGGCATGTGTTTTTTGAAACGGAGTCTACGTCTCAAATCCATTTTGTTAAAATGTCCCTATATGTTGCAAGTTAGTAGTTTAAACTCTCCTGCAGGAAAATTAATGTCATATTTATTATAAATATATGACCATATATAAGTATGTATTTTATATTTAAATATATTTTATAAAAATGTTTTAATACTTTTTAAATATAAAGTATGTGAGCTTTATAATAAAGCTTTAATAATAAAGACTATATAATCTTTAGTATTATTATTATTTACTTTATTTTTGTGAACACCGTCCCACCTGTGGGACGCTTGGCACTCTTTTTTTTGTTGTCCTTTTTCTCTATCAAATCTTTTAGTAATCATCATACATTATATATCATTTGAAAGCTTAGAAGCCCAAGATTCATTCTGTGAAAACCATTTTAAAATCGGACATTGAGCTACCATGGAAATGGTACTTTAAAATCTTTTGGCGGTCTCCTCCCCCTTAGTGGGCGGTGTCAAGTGTCATATTACAAAATGCATTACGGTCTTTTAGAATCAAACCTTTTTATAATCTTGACAAAAACATATCATTGGAAAGGTCTGAGTCTCAGGATTCCATATTTGGTGGTATATTTTGAGATAGAAGTAATATTGACAGAGAAATCTAGACATTTGTGACAGAAAAATGCATAAAAAAATTAAATGGATTTTGGATGGCACCCGGTGGCTGTTTGTGGTATAACGCCCTAAATAAAATCTCACAGGA